AGCAGTCATTGATGTGCCTCACACTTGGAAGATCTCTCACCATGCAGGGCTTTATAACATCAGGGAGGGGAAAATATTTGTTCATTGAGTTATGGAAATCTTCTAAATGTTGGCATATTTCATGATATATATTTTAAAAAGCACACTTGTATGTAGCACCAACAAACTTTTCAGAAAAGGCTTAGGAAGCTGTCAAGGTCATGGTGATGGATGATGCAAGCTTTTCAAAATTCCCACTTTCACTTGAAAGCTCAAATGGTGCCATTGGCCACCAACGCTGCCTTTGTTTTCCATAGCGCGGCAGTCTCCGTTTACTTTGGGGGAAACGTCTGCCATGTGTCCAAGGGCGAATGGCCGTAGTTGGAGTCACTCTTTCAAGTAAAACTGGGGTTTCTTTAACATGAATATTTAAAAAATATGTGTGTTGATGGGTAAAGATATAGTGCAAGTAACAGTTTTTACTCCTTTATGAAGGATATCCTAGCATTAAACAGCCTCCCTCCACCCCCTCCCACCCTCACCCGCGGAGCGCTGGCTGACAAAGAGCAATGTCACGTTTGTTAGTGCCCTTTCATGTTACTACTGGCTAGAGTCATGCTGAGCCTTTGGCAGGTCCCCCACCATTCTGTTGCAACATTATCAGCACAGTGAAGATGACGCATAGGGCCTTAGTGGGAAGGCAGATGTGTCTACCTTGCACACCCCCAGAAAGGGCTTAGGGACATCCAGACTTCTGCTGACTGCACCTGCCCAAGTGCTCCGTAGGCCCTCCCCTCAGAAAGCCGGAGAAGGGCAGAAGAGAAAGTGGTGGGTGGCTAGAGAGAGAATAAAGTGTTTTTCAGGTAAGATACATTTGAGGACGTAAACAGGATGGGCACAAGCTGGCGGCCAGGAAGGAGTTGAAAACAGAGCAGGGAGGTCAGAGGGCGGCCTACCAAGAGGAAGGAGTGAGTGGCTTCTTGGGTAGGAGTTGGGGCGGGATCAGGCTGAAGTTGAGTTAGATGTGAGACCTCGGCCTTACTCAATCCCGCTTCCCTCATATCCTTTCTTTCTCCCATCTCCCCACCTTAGTAAACTGTGGGTGCCCGCATCTCTGCCTGCTCTGCTTCTCGGGCACCTGGCCAAGGACTGTCCTCAGCCCTGCCAAGTGGACATGATTACCTCGACAGCTCTCCTGTTAAGCCTCATCTGTTCTGATACACATAGTTGCTCAAGAGAACCTAAAAAAAAATGGAGCCGTTTTCCCAACCAGATCTCCTGGGACATAGGAACACCCAGTAAACCAGGCCTCAGGAAGCCAGAACCACTTACGGTTCGCAGTGCAGTTGCCTCTGTTTATCCAGACCCTGGCGGTCTCCCCGGAATACAGCTCAGCTCCTGTCTGCCTTTGCCTCCATCTCTCCTGGTGCTCTCATCAGCCTTGACATTAGTCAGGGAGCAGAACAGTTCCACAGTCCTTGCCTTGCACGTGGGAGACCCGGGCTCCGTTCTGGCCAGTGCACTGCATGCACAGCCACCTTGACTTAAATGATGCTCAGAGAGAAGGAGGCTGCCTGGTGCCACTCAGGTGCACTTGTCCCAGAGGATTTACGGTTACAGTCCTGTGCTTGGAGAAGGCTGTACTCTGGAGTGCAGCGCTGCACAAACTGGGGAGTGGCTGCTCTTACCTTCGCTTGAGTCCATTTGTCTTTCCAGATCTCCTCGCTGGTGTGCTTCTTGCTGTCTCCCGGAGCTTCCTTCATTACTGGGCAGCTGGTGGATGTGGATGGGGGCCATTCTCTGTACAATCACTCAGTCCGCATACCAGGTGAGCAGGGCAGAAAGGCGTCTGTGGCTAGAGCTGTGTTAAGTAATTGCTGTAGAAGAATAGGTTTCTGTTATTCTACAAGGGGTGGAGAGCCTTTTTCTTTTCCCCTGCCAAGGGCCAGTTAGATATTTGTAATTCACAGGCCATAAAGGTCAAACATTTAATTAATTCACTTGTAATGTGATGAATGGCTGGAACCGCTTCTCTCTGGCAGGCATTGTGTGTCGGCTGGTCTTGATGCTGTCACGGGCCTTATATGGCCCTCCGGCCAGGCGTTCCCATCCTCTTTCGAGACTGCCTATCAAGTGAGGGTGCAGAATGTTTTTATTCGTGATAAGGCTTTTACAGGCCATGTTCTTAACTGCAGAAAATATCCTTATGATATAAGTTAACATTATACATTAAAAGTTGGGTTTCTGTTTGTGCGTGTGCATGCCCATTGTTTGGTGAAATTTGAACCCTGAGAGATATTCTCAATATGAATACACAAGTGTGTGTGTGTGTGTGTGTGTGTGTGTGTGTACCTATGCATATATGTAAGCTTTAAGTACAGTAGTCTGTTCTTCCTTAGCGGACTTTTCACTGATTGGCTGGCTAACAAATGACATTAAATTCTCTACTTACCAGATCATGACAACTGGCCTGAAGGAATAGGGGACTTCTCAACTGTGAAGAAGCTGAAGGCATTTTACAAAACTAAGCAGAAGCTCTAAGTTAAGAAAACAAGGCTTTCTTTTCCCTCAAGTGCCTTAACATCTCGAGAAAGACTTGAGAGTTTATGCTTTGTATTAAAAAAATCACTCTCTGCTCTCTAGAAGTGCTGTACATCTTATTGATGCAAAAACTATTTCTCAAAACAAATTCACTTTAACCTGTAATTCAATAAAAATTAAGAAGGGAATATGAAAATAATAATTTATAATCTATCAAGGGGCCATGAAGGTGGGGGGAGGAGGGGGAAAAAGAGGAGCTGATACTAAGGGTTCAATAGAAAGTAAATGTCTAGAAAAGAATGATGGCAACATATGTACAAATGTGCCTGACACAATTGATGTATGGATTGTGGTTAGAGTTGTAAGAGCCTCCAATAAAATGATCTTTTAATTTATAAATAAATAAATAAAATTAAGAAGGGAAACTAATACAGGAGTCTTGGTGACATAGTGGGTTATGTGCTGATCTGCTGACGTCAAGGTCAGCTGTTCGAACCTACCAGCTGCTCCTCAGGAGAAAGTGGAGGCTTTCTGCTGCCACAAAGATTGATGTTCTCGGAAACTCACAGAGGCAGGTTGACTCTGTCTTGTTGGGTCGCTATGGGTCAGAATATATTTGATCGCTGTGAGAGATATCCAAGAAAGGCATTTGAAAAATGAACACACTTAAATTAATAACAATTACATGGATTATGAACCTTCAAAATATTTTATTACTTAATTGTGAAGGTAGAAAAAAACTCTGAATGGTGGCATAATTATGATTATAGGTGAGTTACACCATAGCTAATTTTTATAGGCAAATATTTTGCATAAATAAAACCTTATGTAATAATGTATAGCTTGTTTTGTTAATGAAGACAACTTTGAATAAACCCTCTTAACTCAAGGGAAAAATAAATTTATATCCAATAATTTTTTGCAGTGCTTGATTTACATTTTGATTTTCCAGCCAACATAACTTCCTATTTCATTGTTTAAATTTTATACAAATTTATTAGGGTTGGATTCTGTCTTCAATTGATTTTTCCTGGGAATTACTTTTAAGAAGTACCACCAGCAGATTACATAAACCCATATTTTGGCCTTAATCCATTAAAACTTCTTTCCATTGATTTCTTCTTCCCAGTTTGATGAAGCATGTGTTTTCCTTCCTTATCAGTGACACCAACTCATTTCCACAGATCCACTCTACCAAGCACACAGTCTCTGGTTGCTAGGAGGTCAGAGGGGCTTTCAATTGTAAAGTTTAACAACAGTTGGTCATATTATATATCACCAGGTGAAAGAATTTGCAATACATCACAAAAGGGATTATGGTCAGACAGACCTTATTGATAGAGTGTATCTCAACCACTTGATACTTTGACACAACTTTCATCATTGATTAGCTCTTCAACAAGGCAGGGTCTTCCTAACTGACATGACATCCATTGGAGTACCAAAAACACTCAGTTCAAGCTTACTGACACCTAGTTGATTCTGGCTCATAGTTGTAAGGTAGATTTGATGACAGAAAGAAGGCAAAGGCAGAAAACAGTTTCAGAGGTTTTCTTCAGAACTCCTGGGCCAGGTCCACGGGTCCCTAATTGGGGCCAGAGAGGGACGGGAGTATGGAGACAGGGACAGGAGCATCCTGAGCTCCCAGGCGAGGTTCATGGGTCCTCAGCTGGAGGCCTGCATAGTCGCACTGTCTGGGTGAGAGGTGGGGAGTTTTATAGCCTGCATCTGCAGGAGGGAGTAGCTGGGGAATTTTCCACTGGGGCTTGGCTGTCTGCAAGGCCGGGATGAAGCTACAATGTTATCTGCAACGGTCAGCCTCCTGAATCTGGGCCTGGAGGGCGACCAGGGGAGGGGGAGGCCTGGCCTCTCACAAAGTCCTTGGAAGTATTTTCACCAGCCCTGGGTATCTTTACACGCACCTGCCCTGCCAACGCTCGTTTCTGCCCAACAATAGTGACCCTACTAAGCAGGGTAGCACTGTTCTTGTGGGGTTCCATACAGGAACAGAAACTTCCATCTTTCTCCAGAGAAGTGACTGGTGGGTCACAACTGCCACTCTGGGTGCAGTAGCCCAGCAGTAACCCACTACACTCCCAGGGCTCCTTTGCCAGACATACTCATGGATTACAAAATCTGAAAGCAATATCACTCATATCATCCACCTTAACTCACAGATGAACCTTGTCAAGCACATTCATTGCGTTCATTTTGATGGATTTAGGAGGCTGTTGATCAGAAAGTCACTACATGATTTATTTTAAATGCAAATCCCTTAGACCATTTATGACTTGACCACCACCACGCCCTTTTCCATGACCAACACTGTGGGAGAAAATGAAGCATGGTTGTTTTCCTTAACAGACCTTCCAAGAAGAGTGTAGGCTCACATTTCTCTCCAATCACACGGAGATTCCACCTTTCATGTGACGTCTTTAGCCTTGAGATCACTTTTTCCCAATGTCGTGCCATGAATTAGCTGGGATGGGTTGAAAATACCCACTCCAGTTCTGTAGAATTAGAATCTATGGGGCTTTGCCCCTGGGTCTACATTTCAAACAAAAATGTCGACTGAAGTCTGGGCGTTACTAGCTGGGTGAATATATGGGGCTGTGCTGCTTGGTACACAGACACACACTGGCTACCCAATGGTGTATCTAACTATGTTTGTACATACCATACATCTCCAAGTATCCTTACTTAGAATCCTTCCACCCACACAGTCCACGTGGAGATTTCAATGCCATTTCCTTTTTCTCCCCTATTCTGTCTGATTCCTACCCCTCTTAAGCCCTCACTCAAGCCTTGACTTCTTTGTGAACTCTATGGTATTCTGTGATCAGGAGGGTTTCCCTCTCCCTTACTTTAACTCCACCTTTCAAGTCCATAGACAGCCTTCTTTCTGGTCATTTCCTCCTCACAAGTATCCCTGTCTGCCAGTGGTGTTGTGGTAGATGTTTAACTCTTGGTCTTTAGGGGAAACAGCCCAAATATGTAGAGTTCACCAGTTCCTATGGTGTAAACACTTGCACTGTGACCAATTTCAAGCTACTAACAAGCTGTTACTGAATGCAGAGATTTGGGAGAAGGTGCTGAGATAGTACTATTATATAGTATTTCCACCAGAAGAGCATGGGTGATAGTAAAATATAGTAAATAATTAGGAATTGATGGATTTTAATATTTATTAACCTTGTTCTAATAAGGTTTATTTGGGTGTAAGTTTATATCACTTAAATTTTATAATAATGTCTGTTTAATAACCAGCTCCAAAAATTCTTAAGGTTTTAAATTATTAGCTCTCATAAGCTGTTATGAGCCACCTGCAGCACAAACCAGCATCCTGATAGACCACTGCTGTTTCTGGTCTCCATCTTGGCCAAACGTTACCTGTCCCGAATCGTCTTCATTTCCACTTACCACATCTTGCTGGGCCTTCCTGGTAGGAAGTAAAAAGAACCCTAAAGAATGCAGGGATAGCAGATGCAGTGAGCAATCACCC